AGATAGCATAAAGTAATATTGTGAGAATATTTTTTAAACGGCGTAAAACCACACTGACTTACTTCACTGCACATAGTACCATACCAATACTGTATATGTTGTACATGTTAACAAATGAATATTTCGAAATTAGAGAGCACTAATGGAACCTAGCACCGGATACTGAGACTTCTACAAATGTGTATAAAATTCAAATGAAGTATAAATACCACCTGTGATCATCTGTAGGCTTCGCGAAACAAGTCAGCGACTAGCCTATAATCTGTGTCACGAATAATGAGCAGAACAAGCCTAGGTTTGATTTATTATAGTCACGGACGTATTATTTACGATCGATTTCAATAAATACCTGGCTGAACAACACGACAGTAATTAGTATTACGAGGCAAAATATTTATGCATTTGCACCTGAGCTGTCCCGGCATTGATACGCTGGATGACGTGTCTTGAGCTTAATTGTCCTATTTCATACAGTTTCCGTATATTGATAGCTCTGATCTATCACCTGACAGAATGATTAGCAGGCATGCATTCAGGAAATAATACACAGTATGAGCTGTATAAGTGACAGGACATGCCAACCCTTTTTGCGGACACCTGTTGTCATTAATTATTTTTAGTAGTCCATTCTTATTTCTTTTATTTTTGCTTTTAGCGCCTTTCGGAATCTCTTTGGGATTAATCGAGACTGTTTTTGTCTCATATTAATATTTTGCATTTTATGTAATTTGATTCTGATCTATTGAATAAACAGTTGTGGAAATGTACCTTATCAACTAACGTTTATTTGTTTTAAGCTTCTCACAATCAAAATACCATCATCTTCAGTAGCCTTCATCATTATGCCGTCAGTCATCAATTAAAATTTATGATAGAACCATCTACCTCCAATTTATCTATCATAATATACCTATCATCAAACTCATCCATTGTAAATCCTTCTATCACCAATCCATCTACCATCTCTCATAAATCCAAATTTATTACCAACCCATTTGTATCATCAATCCATCTCTCATAAATCCAAATCTGCTATCAATCCATTTTCAATCTATCAAACACATACTGACCTATCTACCATCAATCCATAGTTTCAGTACCATCAATCCGACTGTCATAATCATTCTATCATCAAACCATCTACCATCAATCAGCTACTACCAGTCTACATATCATTCCATGTACCACGGACCCAGCTACCAATTCCTGGTCCGTCTAGCACCGAGCCACTTCAGAACAAGACCACAACGCAAAAGCCCAAATTTTCAAATCAGAAACCATTGGTGTGTACAAAAAGCCGACCACGTTCGTCTGCTCCGGAATATATTTACGTAATTACAGAGAGCAAATCAGTGTCAGAAATTGACTCGAAAAATCTACTACATGAGATTATTAGCTAAAATCAATTACTGATTGCCAGTAATTCATTGCCGAGTCATTGGCGGGCGATTAGAACAATTTTAGACCGATTTCGTCCTTTAATGTATTAAAGTAACGAGACCCTGTTCGGGGTAGTCATTATCTAAAGGACCTAACGGTATCTCTAAGCTATCATTTTATTAAGGAAATTGTCAACCTGGGCTACAGCGAATTTCTTACCCTGTTATTTCCTTTTAGTTAGTAATTGGAAGCTAATAAGCGAGCATTTATTATAGGAGTCTGTGGCACTACGTAATAAACGACTGCTAACGCTGTCATTTTAATTTGAAGCTTGGTCTTATCACCCTATGAAGCGCGAACAACGCTTCCGATCAGGGCGCGCGACAGATCAATGACGCTTTGATTTTTCAGAAGAGGGAATGTCGCGAGAGTTGGTGTAATTTGTAACGAGATCTCGAGACTCGTTCTGATGTGAGACAGACAGGAACATGGACAAAACACGTTTGTTTTTGTTCCCGTTCCGTTAAAGTGGTTTCCACGCTCAATCCGTGATATTACCCTTTTCATTAACTGTCTGCAGACCTCGATCTATTAGCATTATATAGCATTATCAACTAGTGTATATATAATTCAATGCAACAGACTGGTATGACGCGATCGGAACGAACCCCCTTGCGCCGCGAAATAGAAGAGATGATGTTTAAAAGAACTTTCATCTCATTTCAGTAACACAGGTTCCTTAGCCTTAGAATAAATAATTGACACAGACTGTTTAGGGAAAACATTTACAAATTTCGATAATGTCATAAAATGAAAGATTCCAGGATGATATAGAATAATTATATCTATTAGAACAGCCTCTGGCTTCTTCGTGTGGAATGACACGTATGTTACAGGTGTTGAACTGTTTCATTGACAACCCTATGAAAAAGATTAATTTGTTTGCTTAAATCCTGTGACCAAAAATATAAATTTATTTAACAGGAAAATGTCATGATAATGTGAAGATCATTGCGTTCATATTTAACGAACCCAAGGGACAAATATTTTAGTCTGAGATCGGTGAAAATTGATATTCAATACTATATTGGTGGAGACGTGTCGGTAAAAATATCAACATTCATACACGGTCACGATTGTTGGTGGAACTGAGACTATAAACAGAAGGAAATGAAGCCTAATCATATATCAATTACCCTAATTCAAATGTTACAACTTATTGAATTGTTTGTAATTCACATCACAAACACCATCAGCCATAGAAATAATTCTTCTGGCAAAATGCCCTTTAGCTGTTACGGACAAACATGTGACGACAAACATGGCATTATTATTTTTTATTCCCATAGTAATTCTCGTATAAACGCACAAAATTGCAGAAATAGACGTATAGTTGTGAAAGTTCATCAGTTACTGACTTCGCGTTAATGCTAGCAATACCACACAAAAAGGAAAAATTACCTTTGACATTTCATGCCATAATTCAGATGCACATTCAAACAAACGACGCTCAAAATTAGTTGAAATCTCACCAGGGAGTAATTAGAGACGAGTAATTAACGCAGCGCCGGGCCTTATTGCGATTACTCGTACAAGCACTTCTCCTGTGGATTCAGCGTCGAAGCGAAACCTTGCTTTCAAATAATGCAACGGATACCGGGCGGTCATTAGTACGTGTATTTACATACATATTACTATGAATATACCATTTGTATATATGTATTGGGAGAACTAAATGAAACCTTATTTTTCCTTTTGACATTTTCCATTATACAGTCGCATGGTCTGTTGTTATTATGGACCCCGTGAGTCGTTATTAACAAGTGTGGATCATTATCTTATTTTATTCGTTAAAGAGATGGGGAAATAATACTACAAAGCGATTATTTTGATTAATATTTTTTTGGTAGATTCGGTAATAGAATTTTGTATTACGAGTGCAAAAATTATTCATGCTAAAGGGGATTTTCATTCTAATACACTGGAAAATGGCTGGTCCTGTGTATATATTGTTTTTTGATTGCAGTTTTATGTGGGAGTGGTTAATGTTATATTCTTTCATCTCGTATATATGTTCATCAATATATTCAAATATTATATAACGATATATGCGACTACATAATCACAAACATACATGGATAGGTCACTGGAGATGGTTATTACAACGTCCGTGTCTCCTGTACACAAATCACACACTGAAATAATTATTTGTAATCGTATAACCTGACCTTCAATATCTTAAAGCATCTCTGGTTGCGAAAATACATTTATCAGTGGTGTTTATATCATTATATGATATTTGATAATTGTATACTAACTCTCCTTACTGAAACATATTTAATAATTGATTTTATTCGTGTACAGAACAATATACTTTATACAAAACTGTTCAAAAATCAAATGAATAGCGTAATGCACCTCAAATTCAATTAACTGTTTGGATCCACCGTAAATATAATGAAATGTTACGAAATGGGATATTTAGTCGTGTTGGCTTGATTAGTTGTCAAGCACATGTCTGAACTTCAGAAATGTAGATCAGGGTATATTTCTTGAAACAATCTTGTTTCATATTCAAACGAAATAAACCTATATGAACAATACGACAGAATATGGAATCATAATAACAATATGCATTCACTGATATCATAACAATAGCACATCATATTTATGATCAGATCATAATTTGTTCATAATTCTGACACTATGTTTAGAATATATTCAATACACCTGTGCTTGTATATAACGTGTTTATCTAACAGATCATCTCACAGTCATCAAATTAAGAAATAGCCAAGATCTTTTAAAACCAAAGCAAATGGGTTTCATGAATTGCATCAACCATCTGTATTTAATTGTTGATGTGTACACAGTGTGTTCAAAGAAAATTATACACACTGTTAAGGATTACACTGTGTTAGCATGATACAGGGAACAGAATTAGGTGTTAATAAAAGACAGCGCCAAACCAACGTTTCACCATTCATTAGATCACTCTAAACTTCCACTTTTCATTGTTTCATTTGTGTAGATAATATTCTTTATGTCATACACACACATAATTTGGTAACCTGTCGCTGAATTCAGCTGATTGAATAAACACTTTTTATTTTAAATTACAGAACGGTATTCAGGTATATAGCAAGGTATTTGTAGGCATTGTCAACAAAGTTTCATCCATATATTCAAGCACTGTTCTGTTGTCATGCATTCTTCCTAACATCAGTGTGACAGTTTGGCTCTTAGTTATGTATCTAGTTAAAAGAACTAAAAGTTTCGGATGTTTACATGTTGAAACACCGTTAGAATTATCGTTGTACATCAATGTACTGCAATATTTCATAATAATCATCATAACGTCAATCTTTCGATGGCGTGGCCTCACTTGGTATTTTATAAAAAGAAGATAAATGTGAAATATTCCAAAACCTATATATGTAGTATTTGTATTAAAATATTTACAGTAATGGAAACAGTAAATGTATATATGTGTCACCGCATCCGTCAGCCATTGCATGTAGAACTACACACCTTTACACTGACACGATAATACAAATATTACATGAGTGAACCTCCTTGAATAATGATAACATTCTACAAACTGCCTGTTTGTCTCTTACCTGTTTTTACAGTTAAAACGCCCTTTTCTCTTCCTCCTATAGACAGTTCGTCGTCGGATTCATCACAGCTTTTCTCGTCTTCACTTCCCGAACTGGTGATCTTGATGTTTTCAGTGTCCAGATTGTTTTTGTCGTCACACAACACGGGTACACTCAGTGTCTCCTTCTTGATGTTATCAGTGCACTCCTCAAACGACTTGGACACAAATTCCGTCAGTCCCTCCATCGCCCAATCCGCTTAAAAATCCCTCTCAGTTAAAATTACTTAAAGTACCGATACACTTTTAAGAAAAAAAAGTTTAATTTTTTTTCTCAAGTACTCTGTAAACTATGTCATAAAAACTTTCTAAATCTTAAGACTCACGGCACACAATGAAATAGTTCCTCCTGGGCTTGAAATAAGATCCGATATCAAAGCAGGATCCTTTAAAGAATTTATTACCGTCTTCGGACAAATTCCAGGAACAGGAAGGATAGTCAAAGACCGGCGGAGCTCGTCACATTCTAACAAGACTATCGGACAGGGAGCTCAATTGGTCCTCTCTCTTCCGTCGCTGGAGCCGTTCGTCTTGAAGGGCCTCTGAGCCATTCTTCATATTCAACACAGAGGCGTAATTAATTTAATAAGATAGATTTGCCGAGTTGCTAATTATCTTCTTAAACATTTACCGTAGAAGCCATAACTCCTGTGATTGGCCAGTTCACGTGACGTCACGTGCCGACAGAGGGCGCAGAAAGCGGTTAACATCAACCATTGCTTGTCATTGGCACGCGTCCGGTCGTTGAGACTCGCCGATAGCAAAGCGGCCCATATGTTTGACTATGGCTCGAGTCAAATGGTGTTTATGAAATTAGGAAAATATTACCAGAGCATCCATTGGCCTGTGGTGAATGGCTTTATATCTCCCTCCGGTTTTTATGCTTTTCAAATTTCTTTTTTATACGTCTATTTGAGAAGGGCGAGAGCGGAATCTGGACAGCCGTTTGTTAACGATCTCTTGGGGTCACGGCTAGCTTTTACGCTGTCAACACATAATTAATTTTGGTTTGATGTCCGAATGTGATATGATTTTTGTACAGGAGGCGGCCGGGACGACACGCTGGGAAGTTATGAGAATTGTCGGGCCAGATTCATAATTCATATCGCGCTTGTAGTCATTAGGACTCTGCTGTTTCCGTGGCCGATCATTACGATAATAGTAGCACGGACTGTGACAGATTAATTGACAGTGTCACGTACAGTGATATGGCCAGTGACGATGTTGTGAGACATGCTACAAGATAGTTCCGTAAATATGACTACCGTTATTGATGGGATGGAAAACGGTAGAAAGGATGAACGTTTTATGTAATTTTATCACCACCCAACCACCACTACCACCACCATCATCATCATCATCATCATCATCACCATCATCATCGTCATCATCATCGTCATCACCATCATCATTTAAATACATTTTCATCATTTCATCAACATTATTGTTAAATATTCGGAACTAATTCTTTGTTTTTTTTATAACTGCTTAATTCGAACCACGACACTCGGGGAAAATTCCATATACTGGCTGGTGCAGTAATTATGAATAAATTTATCCCTTATAGTATAGTATCTCACTCAGCGGGATTCCGTTAATGTGGACGGCAGTGGTATATACTGGGCCTTCCGGATTGGCGAGATGTCTCTGTGCTGATTGTGTAGTTATTCTGTTCTTCCTCTACCATCTTCAGTGTGGTTTTCCTTCAGCTTTTAAAAAGATAAATACATTTTCTCAAACAGGTTTTTCGTTTTCATGGTAAGTATTTAATGTTTATAAATCATTAAAGTGATATTATTTTAATATATTTTTCTAAATTACACCACTGACAGTAGTCTGAAACCATATGTGTTGCGTTTGACTTTTAATAAAACTTTCTGAAATATTTAACATGAAACGTATACACCAACATAATCTGTCTCGAATAACTACCGACATAGATACCAAAAAGCGAAAAAGGTAATGGAATGGCAAAACGTTGTATGAATGGATCACGCCACACTATTGTTATCTATAAAGTTAGTACCACTTGACAGCGAGGCGCCTGTACATTTTAATAATTGCAAAACAGTTCATCTTAATCTTTTCGTAAACACCCGGTGTCATGACTGAATAATTGTTATTGACTGATAATCATACTAATAATGAAAAGGCTATTCTATAATTGACACAACTTTAGGCAGAAGTTGGATATGATTAAGGAAACGGTTATGTGGCTTTTATTTGTTCAGTGTCAATCGTGTGAAATAATATTTTGGTGTGGTAAATTGTATATTAATTATCATTTGGAGTTTTAGATACCAGTGATTATTTGAGTTTCATAGTTTATATGTTTAGGTTGTTACTGTAACATATGACTGACGCCAATTTCAAGATAATCTACATACTAAATTTAAATGATAATCACCAAATTTCTATATTTCAAATACGTATTTTTATTATTAATATATTATATTTTGTTATCAATATGATACATATTTTAATATAACTAAGTTGCCTTCCTAGAAGCCTAAAATGAAGTGTTAAATGTCTGTGATATCTGCGATTCTATAGTGTAAAGGAATATAATTATTTTACGTGAAACAGTATCAGGAGGATGCTCCTGACGTCATCGGATGTATAATAATGTGTACGTTTAAAACTAAAAAAATGTCAAAGTTTCATCCTCATGTTTCTAACTATTGCTTAGTTTTTTTTAAAAATGCGCAAAACTTTTTTCGAAATTGACAGAATACGAAAAAGTATTTTAAAACTCTTTGTGCGTTTCTCAGTACGTTATTTTCCAGCTTGACACACGATACAAATATTAATATGTGATTTCCGCATATCCTCAAACAAGGAATGAAAACAAACATGTCACTTTTTAAAGCAAACGCACATGTGACCTGATGTCTCGCTCGGTCGTCTCCCGTGATGTTTTCGACGTTCCATGCCTGCACGGGTGCCACTTTCAAACAATATAAACACAATATATGCGTATAATGACATTGACATTTTGGCAGAATGAAGGACACGGTAATTGTTACAGTAGGTCGGGGGTAGGGGGGCCCGCTAGACAGCAAGGGAAGTTGTAGAGGTGGATGGTTCGGGGTATGTATTGAAACATTGCACTAACCTTTGTCTTTGGGGATCCCTATAAACATCAAACTGTCTTTAGAGTTTGGGAAAGGTTGAAATTTAACTGACACAACTGTACAAATTGTGTCATTTCGTGTCAGTTGGAAAGAATACTTGAAGAATTATTAATTTTAGTTACAACGATCAGTTTGATTTGTATATGATTAAAATAGGGATTGCCATGGAAACGATAAATTTGGAGGTTCCACGTTCCATTCTTTTGTGGGTAAAATCTGAATAACTTTGTACTAGGAGTGTCACGAATTTACAGAGTAATGTACATTCAGACCTTTCTATAAAACTTTAAAAAAAAGTATGATTCACTCACTGTTTCATTTTGTAAAATGTTTGACGGAGAAATCTAACTTCCTTATTAAATCAAAACCATTTTTCAGTAATCTTCAAACTACTTTTGATAAACAACAACAATTGTTTGTTTTATCTGGGACAATGTAGAGATTATTTTCAATATCAATCTCAGTGCCAACGGATTTAGAAGAAATAACAATATTTACCATTTTCTACACTGAAGCGGCGGTGACCTTTTCATACTAAAAGTGATATTTAACATTGTGTAACACAATTATACTACACCGTAGAACTCGTCGAGTTTCAAAATATTATTTCTATATCAAACGCTCTAGGTAATGACAAAACTATCTTCAAACAGATATATTCTAAGAAATTTCGGAACAGTTAAATATATACATCCTAAATCGGTCCCTAAAACAAAATATTTCAGAAATGCATTTCGATTATAACACACATACAAAAAATCAACAGAAATCTACTCTCGATAGATAAAAAAAAAATATCTACTTGGTCAAACATGATAGATGATTTCAAGACAACAGGATTTTTCTCTGTAGTTATTCCGTCAAACTGAGTGGATTATATAATGTGATACACACAACATGGGTAGCCGATACGCACAGTATGTACTAAATATCGTAAATGAATGGAATATAGAAAATGGGTTTGCAAAGTTGAATCAACTTTCACATAGCCCGTCCCATCCGACTTCCTCAAACACGAACAAAGCTATTTCAGTAATCGATAATAAGAAAATGTTCTTGTCCGGAGATTGCAGGTTCTCTCACGACGAAATCTGAATATTATTTTCTCTACTTTAGGAGTTTATTTATTTTCTGTTTACACATCCGAAGACAATGAATAATAACGACTGAAAAAGATATGAAACACTTTTAAGGTGAATTAAAAAAATAAGGAAGAATACTGGTAGAAAAGAAGGTACATCCAGAAAATCAAGATTTTGTCCATTTCTTTGAAGATGAGTTACACTTTATGTTAGAATGTCCAATATATTGCGACTAAAATATATGATAAATATTGAATATGTAAATAACGATTGTCCAATATATCTTCTTCAAAAGGCCAACCCTAAATTTTTAGCTCTTTAAGCAAACTTATAGCTCTTTATCAAAGAAGGCTTCATGTTACGTTGCTCATTACTGTCAATGTATGTATACAACGTTTCAACGTATATGCTGTTATATGTATGTTACAACTGCGAACATAAGCACCTAGTATGAATATATTGTGCATTCATATTGTAGGCATGTTGCCTTTATACTGAATAAATTCTTCTTCTTCTATTCGAAGGCCCTAATTTGCACAATGAAACAATATTAAAAAGGACAAAATAATTAAATAAAAAAATTAAAACTGCGTCACAGGCTAGGCCAATATCCAAGGTGACGTTTTAGTGTAAAAATGAGCTCATCGGTTATCCATAAAAATAGTCCTCATCCTTCAAATAAAGTCATAACCATTATCATTAATATCTTGCCTTTGTGTTTGGATTAGTACACTTGGACTAGTCCATTAATTAACGAAGGTAACAGTGTAGTGAACCTCAGTGCAACCAACCATAACCTTTGTTGTTTTAACGCGTCTAACATTTGGGACGTCTAACTTTTGGGACGACACCGTTATTGTTGTCGTTGCTCAGAATTTATTATTGCTGTATAACTTGCAAACGTTTCTAGGCATTGTTTATTTTTACCCCACCGACATAACTATTTAGTGGTCACTTAAAACTATGGTTATTTTTTTATTACATATTTTGTCTCCAGAACATTTTAAAGGAAATACAACAACATTAAGCCAAGAAATAAAGCCACGAATACTTTGGGATATGTCAACATTATCTCTGATAGAGGTGATCCTGTCGACATATTTCTCATTTAGAGTTTTCTCTGCTAGTCAAACTGTCACTATGCTCCCGTGTCAAAATTCTCTTAGGAGTTTCCATACAAGAATGAGTTTTCTTCTGGCAATGTGTTTTCATAACGTTTTGTTTTGTTGTTTTTGTTTGTTTGTTTGGGGGCGGTATTCGCGTGTTGT